AAATATTATTCAATTAAGTCAAAAAAATCAAAATTTCTCTAACGTTACCCCTCACAATTACACATTTCACAAGATTCTAGGTTAAATAATTAGCAAAAACACACACAAAAAAAAATTTCTAGCTACGCATAGCTATGGCTTGTCTCATTCAGTAAAATAATTAGAGTCTTTAATCTCTTTCTCTTAGAAGTGCTCAAAAAATGAGTCCAGTTTTTAAAGACAAGCACTCGAAACTTTATACAAGGATACACAAATAGCATAGGATTATCGTGAAATAATTCATTTTCCATCTTGTATCAGAAATCAAAATATACATCCAGAAAACACGATTTTCAACAGTAAAAATGTACAGTACCTATTCTGCTACATTAAAAATATATATTTTTCCTAATTTTAAAGTTCAATTCTGTTTGCCTAACGTTAAAGTCCAAAATTCCTGAAATTCACACACATTTTCAAACTTTATCACTCTCGTATTAACAAATAAGCAAACACAAATCAAAAACTCTAATTAATCCTAGCACATAAAATTTAACACCTTCTTAAAACAGTAAGTTATAAATAATAAATTCAAAAAATCAAGTTACTGATTCGATCCTTCACTAAGCAGAGGTCACGGCACCAATGTTATATATGTTAAAGAGAAGTTTCGTGAGAGAGAGGATCGAAATAAACACAAAAAAAAAAAAATAATAAACTTATCTTGAGTTGGGACATCTTGAAGTGGAGGACTCGTATCTTATCAAGCGTTGATGTCGGCCGGGCTCATCTTGACACTGGTTCTAAAAATGTAGACTCCACTTCACCACTGTAGAACAGAAACAGGAGCACTGCTGCCCAGGACGGCTATCCGCTTGGTCCTGAAAGTCCTAAGTCAACACGCAGGTAACTCGTTCAAATTTCGCCTCTTTACCAGCACGCCGCAAGGAAGAGGGTTTTCAGCTTCAGGTCAGAAACGTTTTTTCTAGGCAATTACGGCTCGCCTGTTCTTACTCATCCCAAGAGCAAGCTTCACGAGTAACGTCCCAAGTAAGTTCCACCCGCCAGTCAGTAAGAGAGAGAATCCAACTCGAATTTCCTTCAAGCCAGTTTTCAAGAGCAACGTCCACAAGTCCAGCAAGCCCGAAAGTCAGCGAGTCCAAGAGTGAGTGCGTAAGAGAGTCTCGCCTCTTAACCAAAACGCGGCCGGGGAGCATATTTGCCGCTCCCCGCCGGAAAACATCTCTCTTCGTAATTACATTTTGTCCAGCAAGCCCGTAAGTCCAGCAAGCCCGAAAATCAGCGAGTCAGTCCGAGAGTGAGCCAAAAAGTGAATCCAACTCGAATTTCCTTCGTCTCCTTCACAAAACGGGCTCCCACTATGGCTTCACTTATCGCCCCCTTAATTATGGCAAAATCTTCGTTTTCAACTCCAGAATGCGGAAATAAGGGTGATCGCGCATGCGCGCCCTTCTTCACTTAGCCAACAACCGGACCCTCAATCGCCAAAAACCTGAATGACTTACATTGAAAGACAAGTAGCAACCTTTGACCTTTCTTGTCACGTACTTTCCTCTCTTAAGGTCAACTAACAATGAAAATTCTTTCTCGAACATTCTAAAGGACAAAGCGCGCGAAATCATGACTTGGCGAAAATTGCCTCCCTTTCCCTGCTTCTTTCACAATGAATAAAAGTTTGTACAAGATTTGCAAATAAAAGAAAATAAATAATATTCATTTAAACTAAATAATATTTCCAGAAGCATCTGTTTTTCCCCAAAATTAAAGCCTTAAAATAAATAATTCAGAATCAAATAAAATTAAGATTTCCATAAATCATAAAATCATTCACCTAATTTTTATAACGCTATCAGATAATTTCTCTACATAACACTTGATTTAACTTATAGAGATCAGATTTCATTAATAAGCTATTTTTCAAAAAATTAATTTTATGGAGGAATTTCATAATGATTTATAAAATATGGCTCAGTTTTATTTTGATTTACTTAGAAATTTTCTACATTTTAAAATTGAAACTATTTCAATTCTGTGTTTTAATTCTACTTTCTAACTGAAGATTAATTTTGATTTCACTGGAAGTCAAAACATGTAAAATTTCGTTTCGGTTCTGAATGAAAATTGTTTATATGGCGAAATGTTATTTTTATTCTGATTGATATATGTTTCCGGGGTGCATAATTCTCTTAGTATTTTTATAACTGTATTGCTATGTAAGAAATGAGTTGTATGTTTTGTTTTCTTTTATTTTATGAATAATATTAACAGATATTTTCTTTTCCTCTTGGAAAATAGAAATGATTAAAAAGTGAAAAGGGTTTTATCTAGCATATTATTTAAACCATGCCACTAATATTTTGATTTTATGCAATAAGAATACTTCTTTTGAATTAATATTTTAGTTACCGTTATTCAGAAAAGGCATTCTAAAACTTGCTGCATTTTCGATTTGTATGTTTATAAAATTTTTAAATTATTATTTTGTAATATTTGAGAACAACTTATACATCTAATTCTGTTTTTCAAAGAGAACTACAGTCGAAAATTAATTTCTTAGAGCATTTAGGATTTTGTAGACACCATAGGCATTACTAATAGAAGATTTATAAAAGTTAAATTCTATTTTTGGAACTTTATGTTTACTAAATTTGTGTATTTTATTGTCCATTGGCAAGTGTACCAATCTTTGAAAAATGTAGTTTCGTTTTCGAAGTAATCTCAGATTAATGATTTTGTTCGATGTTGTTTTTCAAATATTATGTAATTGTTAAGGGAAATTACAAAATTCATAAAATTTCTGAACATATAATTTTTCTTCAAAAAAATATTGATCTTTTCAACGGACATTGAAAGTACGATAACATGAATTTTTGGGACTAACCAGAAAAAAGGATGTACAAGTGTTAGTCACAGAACTGGGTCTGCCTGTCTCAGATAATTTGAAAGTAATTCAACTCAAGGAACTAATTACGCACATAGACAAAAATTCTATAAATTTCTAATTAAGCTAATGTTTTGAAATATCCACTTTAGTGAACCTTCGAAGTGACGAAGGTAAACATCTGCCTACAAAATGGCGTACTCAACTAAATTGCTTATTGCAAAAATTCAAGAGAACTGCTTCGAACCAGGGAAAGATCCAACCCCATGTACTGAACTTTTCTAGAATCATCCTGATTCAAAACTGTTGAATGAATCATCCTGATTCTATATTGTTGAATGAATGATCCTGATTCAGTGAGGGTTTCAAGAGAATCATTTTGATTCTGTGCTGTTGAATGAATCATCCCAATTTGATGACGTTTGAAAAGAGTCATCCTGATTCTGTGAAGTTTTGAGTGAATCATCCCGATTTCATGAAGTATGAAGAGAATCATCCTGATTCTACAGAGTTTTGACAAAATTTTTACAAAAGGAAAATAATATACGAGGCGTATTCAAAAACTAAGTACCGTTTTGGAAAAAAAATAGTAAAACAATTTTTTTGAATCCAATTTTATTTTTACAAGAAAATAAATGTCTTAAACTATTTTTCAACACAGTTTCCGCCAATGATCAAACACTTGTCATAGTGGGTGACCAGTTTTTGTATACCATCATCAAAGAAACTTCCTGCCAGTTTCGATAACCAGGACTCCACAGCATTTTTCGTGTCTTCGTCAGATCCAAAGCGCTTGCCACCAAGCTCGCGCTTCATGTGCAGGAACAAATGATAGTCATATGGCGCCAAGTCCGGGCTGAATGGCGGGTGATCGAACTGCTCTCAATGAAACTGTCGAATTAACGATTGAGTGACACCAGCAGTATGGGGCCGACCACTGTCGTGGAACAACACAATTCCTTTGCTGAGCATTCCTCTTCGTTTGTTTTGAATGGCACCTCTTAGTTTAATTAATCGTGCCGCATTAATGGTTTCACCTCTGGGAAGAAATTCAGTAAGCAAAACGCCTTTCCTATCCCAGAAGACAGTGCACATGATTTTTTTGTGATGACATTGTCACTTTGAACTTTTGTTTTTTCGGAGAATGAGTGTGTCTTCACTCCATCGATTGTTGTTTCGATTCTGGTGTGAAATGACACGCCCAGTTTCATCACCTGTCACAATTTGGTTTAAAAAGTTTTCTCCCTCATCACTGTAGCGTGTGAGAAATATCAGGGCACTACCAAGTCGTTTTGTTTTGTAAACATCAGTGAGCATTTTTGGAACTCATCGGGAACACAGTTTGTGATAATTCAAGTGGTCAGACACAATTTCGAACAAAACGGTACGTGAAATTTGTGGAAATGCCTCTGAAAAAGTTGTCATTGTAAAGCATCTGTTCTCATGAATTGCTTCATCAACTTTCCTTACCAAATCATCAGGGACAACAGAAGGCCGACCACTCCGAGACTCGGCGTGGACATTTGTTCGATCTGCATTAAACATTCTTACCCACTTTCTCACCATTCCATCACTTATCGCGTATTCACCACAAACTTCTGTCACTCGACGATAAATTTCAGCCGGTTTAACATTCCTCGCATTCAAAAATTTAATCACGGCCCGAATCTCACAGTCAGCGGGAGAACTAATTGTCTTAAACATTTTGAATGTGCACAGCAAACTGAAAACACAACATAGAGCAACCAAAATGGCGACAATTGAAAGTCAGTGAACAAGAAAGGCTAGTGCACATGCGCGGTACGCCTACCACAGCGCTGCAACGGCACTAGAATGAAACGGTACTTAGTTTCCGAATACGCTACATATATAGTATGCTAATTACCTGTCTTTTTATTCCTATTTTAGAAAAAAATAGATTTTTTTTAAATCCACAATTATATCACTTAACATTGTATTTTTTACTTCATTACTTTATTAGCATTCAATCACTTTTAAAATCTGTTTCATTGACAAAATTATCATCATACTCTGCAGGTCAAATTTTCTCTGATAAACATTCAAATATGAATTAAATTTTTTTAAAAATATAAACCAATAAATAAGGTTAATAACATACTCATTAACTAGTACTGGTCTTTTATACACTGGACTTGTGTGCTTCGATGTATCTTCATTTGGAGTTTCAGTGTTGACCATGAATGCAGTTTCGGTAAACACTAACAAAATAAATTTTGCAATCATCAAGTAACCGGACCATTAATAAGCTATGCACTACATAAAACAAATATATTATTAAAATAATATTACATTTTAAATACAATTAAAAGGAATTCTAAGAAATGGAAAACTGTGCTTTTTATTATTGATTTCATTCAAAAAGTGCTTTAGTAATCAATTTACAAAAGAGTAGGAATTTTTACCTGTTTCATTCAGCATTTCTTGAAAGAATGGTAATTTATCTGGGAAAAAAAAACAAATAAAAATTATTTTTTGGCCAATTTCAAATGAAAAAGGATTCAAAATATTTTTAAAGTATAAAACTAAACAAAAGAAAATTACATTCAGAAAATATGAAAAATAAAATTTGGAAAATTAAAATGATTCCCAGGGTAAAAAAAACAAACAGAAATTGGTAAACCCCAATTCTAAAAATTCTGTATTAAAAATACATTTGTGAACAAAATTATCAAGAAATAATTATAAGATATGATGTAATATACATGTAGTTCCTCTAATTATTATGTATCAGCTCATGATACTTTTATTTTACAATCCAGTTAAAATGACACATATTTAGTTGAAATCATATTTCAAAGTCTAAATTTTAATATGCTGGGAAGCAGCAGATTGAGGTGAGATATATTACACTTTGAAGTACAACAGAAATGAAAATGATATTTACTGGATAAATAATATAAAACAGTGGTCTCAAACTCCAAAAGCACAAAAGCAGCTAGTGGGTCAAATTTTTTTAACAAAATTTTCTATCTGCAAAATTTTTTTTTTTTTTTTTTTTTTTTGCTGTTGTTGCATTTCATAATTCAAATGTACTAACAGCTAATTATTAAATTTCTGGGCCGACATTTATTTCAAATAATTCTAGTATATTGAATATTAACCTTCTGAGCAGCCAGGGGTTTCGATAAGAAAGCACAAATTTCCAAAGAATGAACTACTATGAGAACAAATTATTTTTTGATTTTAATGTAAAAACTCTCCTGATATTTCGTACCTGGATTTGTTTTCTTTTGACAAATTGCCTTAATTTCTTTGACATATTTTAATATGCACGTATATACCCATTCTTACAGATATCAGAAAAAATATTCTAGGCCATATATATATATATATATATGGTCTTGCCGCTTAAAGGGTTAATTGTTAAATTAAATAACTTTTATCATAAAATAACCAAATTATGAAAGCTTACCAAATTTTCAGAGGAAAGATTTGCAGTGGAACAAAACTCTACAATAAATAACAAGAACCTATTCTTTTTCTTTTATATATTAAATATTTTAAAAACACACCCACGATGAATATAATTAAATGCAAATAATATACATTTCTCTACAACTTAACATCCAATGGCATGTCGAGTTTGATAGTGTTTATAAACTTGGAGAAAAATTACTGTAAACTATCTTCACAATGAATTGCAGATGCTCATTAGCAATCGAGCTCTTTTATTAGACTTGATAATTTTCAGTTGTGAAAAACTGCTCATATATAAATGTACTCCTAAACAAAGTGATTATTCTTATTATAAAAGTTTGTAATTGAGGATATTTATCTGTTGACACATATGAATAAAAGTTAATCAGATCTGCATCTTCAGATTTTCATTTAGTCAGTGATAAGTTCATACCTTCCTTGCAACTCTTTATTCAGAATATTTAAATGGACAGTTAAATCAACAAGAAATGCTAGATCTGTTATCTATGTATCATTATGTAACTCATCAATGCTTTTATTTCATTCTAACGCTTTTTGTCCCCACCATGAAAATTTTGATTTATTTAATGCAGCTTCTTGACTTAACATCACTTTGATATAATAAATCATTTCTGCATACTCACTTTCAATTTCTTCAATACAAAAAATTATTGATGATTCAGAAAGTTCATGGATAAAATTTATTGTTTTAATTACCATTTGACAATATTATACACATGCAAACTTTTGGAAGAGAATGTTTCTTGATGAATAATGCAATGTAGAACACAAAACATATTATGAAAATTTTCTTCTTTCAGTATATTTCTTAATTTTACAACTACACTATTTTTTACCAGCCATAGTAGCTGTACCATCACTTGCAAATAAAACCATTCTGTCTCAATTTAATTTATTACAGTAACTATAGTTTTTATTTCATAGAACATACTCTGTGCAACATTTTTTTCTTTCATACAAATTATTTCCAGTAATTCTTCAAGCATTTCAAATTCACCAGTAACATTTTGTATGAAAACAGCAAGCTGTGCTACATCTGTAATGCCAGTAACCTTATAAACTGTTATTAGGAATGCTGCAAAATGTATACACATTTTCATTTAATCAACATCATAAATCACTAACAATTTAGTTAATTTGTTCTGCTACTGTGTTCGCAGAAAACCTAATATTTTTTTACAATTGTTGTTCATCAGAACAAAGAAGTTCAGCAAATTTAATCAAATAATATTTAATGAATTCACCATTACTACATGGTTTTGATCTTTTTGCAATGATGTGTGCAAAAGTTAAACTTGCATCAACTATTGCTTCAATGGGTTTATTTGCTTCTGTAAAAACATTTTGTTGTTGTTGTAAACCAGATTTTGAAAAGCGTAACTTTCCTTCCCTCAGTTTACTTTCCAACGTTTCAAATTTTTCTTTGGGATCTGCTTCATAATGATGACATTTCACATTTCATCTGCTCTTCTTTTTTACTTCAAGTCCATTTTGCGACCACAAATTGATATTCCCACACTTTTAGACATGCAAATTTTAACAGATCAAGTGTCAACTTACACATATTTGACAAATTTCTGCAGTCCTCTAGTAAGATGATAAACTCTGAATGCATAACTTCTATAACATACAATTCCAAGTTTCCTTTGAAATATGCAAGGATCTGTTAAACAAAACTATTGAACTAATTATGATAAAAAATGAAAATTTAAAAAAACATCAAAGTTACTTATATGTTATCTGCGACAATGAAAGTCAGCAGAGATCCCATCAAAGTTGTGCCGACCATTCCTGCAGTATTCTGAAGGAATTAATACTTCTTTATAATGTAAGGTATACAGTACAAAGTCCGTAATCTGGACTCATCAGGACTTCGACAATTCCAGATTAGGGTTTTTTCCAGATTATAGATCATCAATTTAAATCTGGTAAGATGGCATGCAGAAATTATACAATTAAAAATATGAAATAAAGAACAATTATGATCTAAAGGGTATCAAAATTTACAAAAAAAAAGCTTAATATTTGTTTACTTTATTAAATATTTCTTTCAATGTAAGTTGTTTAAGATGCTTCCACAAAAAATTCAAAAAGTTCCTTTTTCTTGTGTCATTTATAGTGGACTTTCCAATGCCATACTTCTCGCATAATTTTGAGACAGATAGGCCTTTATCCATTTTTTGTAGCCATTCCACATTTTGTTTAACAGACATTGAAACATGCTTTCGCTTTGTAGATCCTTTGGCAGCTCCAGAATTGGAAACTCTTTTTGACATAATCGAAAGTTCAAGCTTAATTTTTATAAAATTGTTCTAACAGTCTGCAAAAAATAATAAGCCGGATCCAATTAGAAGATTAAGGAACAGCGCAATCTGTAACATTAACTGAAATGCCTTAGATAATTTTAGCCTAGCTTATACCATCCGTTATACATTAAACATGCATGCATAAATGCATAAGCACGTAAAGTTTGTAGCTTTGAGGTCTGGATTATAGATCACTTCGGATTATGGACGTCTGGATTACAGACTTTGTACTGTATTTTAATTTTACAACAGTCATTTTAAGTTTATGCCACTTCCCCATCACTTCTAGCATCAGCTTACAATTTCTTACCAGCATGAGCTTTTAAAATTGCATTAAATTCAAATGAGAAGTAGAGTAGTATTTAAGTCAAGTTCCACTGACTTCACCAGAAAGAGTTAGGATTCCTGAATAGCGTGCATTTGCCTTTTGACTACGCCTCTCTAAACTGTAACCATGCTCGGCCGTATTATGTGCCTTTTGATAGTTTTGCTGGCTAATTTAATATTATGAGCCAACTATTTAGTTTAGAATTGTGTTAGCTTCAGCTGAATCTCTTTAGTTAGTTCTTATTTCTGACATTTTGAGTTCAAGCCCAAGTGGAGGCTTTGCTGTATGCCCTAAGAAAGGGGCCCACTGTATATCTTTATTTGGTGCAAATAAAGGGTTAATTAACCCATTTCGGGTTTACATTTCTGTTCTTGGACTTGAGCAATTATTTGCTTAGCCATTCATTAGGTTCCTCAACACTTAGTTTAATAGAATAAAAGTGAGAAACCCTATAATATAATAAACAATCTGTATTCAACCAACTTCATTTTTTTCTTTGTAAAAAGACTTTTGTTATAATCTCTGATTTTACTGGAAGCTCTCTTCTGAATGCTATGAGTACAAACCTCTCGGGGGTAAATGTTTCAGTTTATTACTGTTTTATCGCCCATGTTCAGCTGACCATTATTTGTCCGTTTCTGATAGTAGAATCCTATAACCTTGAATGTAATTCACTGTTGTAACTTTGTTCTACAAAAGACAGGTCCTAAATTTTAATCTCCCCTCCCCCAAATGCTAAAAACATATACATCGATAACTTAATTTATATATTTGTTTATTAAATCAAAAGATAGCTTATCCAGAATCAAACAGGGTCAGATATAACAAAAGCAGAGATGTTATTATATGAAACTTATCAATAATAGATGCTAAATTATGCTGCATGGCAACAGTTTCATGATCAGTGGGATAATATGTAAGTACCAAATCAAATTTAATGAAAATTACCTTTTATCAAAAATAATGAAAATGAACTACTAAAGCAATGACATACATGAAACAGGGTACAGTAAAAACTCAACTATCTCACATTCAACTAAGCAGAAGGCTCAAATAACAAGAATACACTGGTGTGCAAAAATTAAGGACGAAGTCGAAAAATTAGCATATCAGCTGAACAAAGAGGCAGAGCAAACAGAAAGACCAATCAGGAGATTAAGTAAGGTGATGTATGGTAGCACATGCGCAGATATGCATGTAGACTAATGGGGGAGTGTCTGAGTAGTATAAAGCATGTTGTCGGGTGTAAGATCAGTATTTCTGGCAAGAGATTGCACGCCATATAGCAGTTAAAATCACACCGAGTTTGCTGCCTCAGAAATGGCGAATAATCAATCTGTTAGACGACATCTGGATGCTTTTACCCGACGTCGAATCATTGGGAAGTTGGAGGAAGGCCGCAGTGTACAAGTGTGGCTGCAGAGTTCGGAATTGCTCACAACATCGTTTCACGACGTTGGAGACAATTTTCAAACTACAGAACGCTATCCGGGGGTCTAGTAGTGGTCGTCCACGAGGAACCACACCCGCAGATGACCGGTATATTGCCTTACAGGCCAAAAGAAACAGGCAGCAGACAGCGGGAGAAATCGCTAGACACACACACAGCGACTGGCGACCGATATCCCGTTTTACCGTGGCCAGAAGACTGCACGGTGGTGGTCTGTTTGCAACGATGCCCTGTACGGTGTGTACCTCTAACATCTGCCCATCGAGAAGGCATTCTCTGTGGTGCTGGAACACCGAATTGGAGAGACAATGAATGGGGGACGAGTACTCTTTACAGATGAGAGCAGATTCAGTCTGAGTAGTTTCTCATCGCATACTCATCTGGAGAGAGCGGGGAAGCTGCAATCGTCCTCGAACATCATTGAAAGGGACAGGTATGGAGGTGGCGGTGTTCTCGTTCAGGGAGGCTCATGCTTGGTATTGTACAGACCTCACACATCTTCGATGCAGGTTCAGTCAACGGGACCCGTTATTGTAACAAGATTCTTCTTCCATAGGTGCGTCTTTTTAAAGGCGCTATGGGTCCACAGTTCCCTTTTCATGGACGACAATGCACCATGTCATCGCACAGTAGCTGCCGAACACTCTTAGAGAGTGAGGATATTGAACGTATGGATTGGCCACACGATCTCCAGATCTCATGTATGGGATTTTCTAGGAAGACGCTTGGCACTCATACCTTTACCACCAGTAACGATTCCGGAGCTCGATGGCACTCAAGACGATGGCAGCAATGCCTCAACAACTCATTGCCAGCCTCATTCTCAGCATGGGCAGACGCTGTGAAACCTGCCTAGCAGTCAGGGGAGATCATATCCCCTATTAAAGACCGGATGTTTCTTGCTGGACACCCCACAGGGGGATGTTTCGGCCTTCAGTTCGCATTGCTTCCATGCTACTTTTTCAATAAGCTTCTTTTTATCCCTCTATTCTCTTTTAGTAAGTGTTGCTTACATCACTCATGTCCTTACATATTGGGATTTCGGTATTAAAATGTTGATTTGGAAAGCTTTTGTACAAAGTTATATTGAAAAAACCGTCTCGTCCTTAATTTTGCACAACCAGTTATATGTGATTACCAGCTTTTGTCGTAGGTTAAATTATCAACGATAATTTAAAAAAGAGGATGCTTTATTATATTTCAGGAGAAAATCAGTACAAAATCAGATATCCGAAGTAGATAAAAAGAATTACTAATAACTTTTTGTATGAGTTTACTGCATCGTGACATTTAAGAAAAAGCCCGATATTCCTTTTGCGAGTCCTTTTATAGCCTCTGAAAGGCGGAGCTTCCAAGAAATGACGTCAGCCATTCCAGTTCGCTTAAATATCTCCAGAACTTCTAAACTGTATGTGTAGAAAGGCTGGAAAAACAGCTTGACTACGGCTGTGATTTTATTCCACGTACTTTCAAAAAGAACGTCGCCATTAAAAATGAAAAAACATACAGTTAGAATTTTAAGTGTACTCTTGACTATGGAATTTTATTATTACAATAATATCAAGTTCTTTGCACTTAAAACAAGTTCTTTGCACTTTTATTCAACTCAACAGCAATATCGCAAAATAATTTAATTTTTAAATGAGCCTATCTTTAGAATTTCCCTTGCACAGTCTCGCGCGCTGGAGATAATCCCCCCCCCCCCCGTACACTGTTTGCAGCTCTCGCTTTGGAATCGTTGAGTTTGTTAATAAAAAATTCGTTAAAATGTTATGAAATAAGGAAGGAACAGCGCAATCTGCAACATTAACTGAATTAGATAATTTTAGCTTAGCTTATACCGTCTGTTATACATTAAACGCGCATTCGTAAACGTATTTTGCGCACGCACACACGCCTATTCGCAGCCGTAATGGTCAATGCGACGCGTGCGCAGAAAGTTTGTAGCTTTGATGTCCGGATTATAGATCATTCCGGATTATGGGTGTCCGAATTAATGACTTTTGACTGTATATTGTATGTTGTCGCCAACAAAGTCTGCTTGGCGAGATTTGCGCCAGCAAAACGGAAAAGTACCAAAATCTTATATAATTTTAAATGTAGGCTTTTGATATTCAAGTTGGTAATAAATAAAATTAATGTTTTCATAATTTTAGAGTGGAAATTTTTTCCACTCATGTGGCATTTTAAACGTGAATTCCCTTACTTATATGCTCAACTATCTGAAATTTTTAAGTATCCAGAAATCAGCATCTCTCAAGCTTTCCAGACGGTCAAGATTTCACTCTTCTAGTTTAAAATGTCAGCAGTTTAAAAATAAATTAATAGTGCTGAAATTACAATCCAGTATTCTACTCAACTATAAATAATTAAATATTCTATTTGGCTAAATATTTTATAAGATATCACAGTATTAAGTGAAAAAAAATTAAAGCAACTCACCATTATTCACTGAATACAAGCTAGTAATGACATACAATAGGAAGATTATTACAAAAAGCAGCACAATATGACATATATCTGAAAAAGAAATATACAGATTTTTAAATGGTTATCAGATATATAGAAAACCAAACTTTATATTCATTCACACCATTTTTTTTAATTTCAGTTTTCAATTCAAACTGAAGGCCATGGCAGAATAACAGATAAAAAAAGTTTAGTTTTTATAATTTATATTTACAGTATTAGACTAAAATATTTATTACATGGTAGGATAAATATTTAGAAAACTATAATTAACTTGAATAAAGAAAAGATTATTAAATCTATTTTCTAAAACAAAAATGGCATTCATTACTTTAATGAAAAAATTTATAAACATTAATTACTTTATACATAAACTTATTTTTGCTGATTTTATTTGGTTGAAAATTCACAACTGTCAAAATGAATAAATATTATTGTTTATGATAGCTGAGTATTTTTCTTATCCCACATTACAAAAAAATTCAAATTAATCTTTAATCACATAGTACTAGACTGAAATTTTAGAACAAATGGTGGAGAAGCAATTGTATCTATTGATATTTTCAATAATTTTTCTTGAATTTTTTTACTAGAAAAATTTTTTATTTTGTAAGGTCAATTGTTTTTTATCAGAAATTATCTCACAGTGACAAATATCACATTTGATGACATATCCATATCATAACAGGTCTTCCTACCTATTCTGTTAGCTGTTTTTTATTTACTTTATCCATTTTTCAATTTCTGTACAAATAATTTAAACAAAAATTATAACCATGCAAGAAAATAAAATATTAGCATGAAAGATAAAATTAGCAGCTGAACTAGTATTAATTTACTACTGCCTTTCATAACAAGTTGACGTTCCCATGTTAGATTGGCATAACAGCTACTGAAAGTGTTAAGCAAATTCTTCATTTCCTTATCTATAATGTATTGTTAATCAGTACAGTCAAAAGTCGTTAATTCGGACACCCATAATCCAGAATGATCTATAATCCAGACCTCAAAGCTAAAATCTTTCTGCGCATGCGCCGCGTTGACGCATGCTCAGAAGCGTTTTACTCGTGCACGCAAGACATTTACGACTGCGCATATGCGTCTGCGCAAGCACAGAATACGTTTTCGCGTGCGCGTTTAATGTATAACGGACGGTATAAGCTAAAATTATCTAATTATCTATTTCAGTTAATGTTGATGATTGCATTGTTCCTTAATCTTCGAATTGGATCCGGCTTATTATTTTTTGCAGACTGTAAGAGCAATTTTATAAAAGTAAGCTTGAACTTTCGATTATGTCAAATAGAATTTCCGATGCTGGAGCTCCCAAAGGATCTAGAAAGCGAAAGTATGATTCGATGTCCATCAAACAAAAAACGAATTGCTACAAAAAATGGATAAAGGTATATCCTTTGTTTATCTAACCGTTCCGAAATCTGTTTATCAATTTCACGCTGCTCTGGGGGGGGACGTGCGGCACGCAATGAACTGGAAGTTTATCTGTCACCACTATCGTTATCTTCAGGGCAGATGTTTTTATTTTTTCCGGCTTATAATTCCTTACTAAATGTAGTATTTAATCTTGATGTACTCCATCTTTGATATGATTTAACTCAAATTCCTCATCATTATAAAATATCACAAATACAAATCAAATAGTTTTCTGGTTGCAATTTTCTAATTTCGGCTATGCATAAGGTACGCATGCGCATGTTGAAAGAAATGTTGGTACTTTTCCGTTTTGCCGGCGCAAGCGATAAAGTCGCCAATAATGGTACAACCGATGCCAAACGGAATATTCTCGCTGGTAACCTTTTACGCCTCATTTTCCAAACAAGTCGCAGCTTTTTCTTATCAGATTGATTGTTTCTTTCAATACTGGCATATAATTACATAGAATTTTAATCAGATAGTTCAGTTTTATGTCTAAAGTCATTTTCGGTAATTAGGTCAATTAGGATGCAATCACAGCGCTTACCCGAAGCCGAAAATATAGAAAAGAAAAGTCAAGGGTTAAATTCATCAATTCTAATGAGAATGCATTAGTGAAGTAAAGCACTGCAGTTTTACATAATTTCTGAGTAAGCTATTCGTACGCATTGAAATATTTCTTGCATTTAAACATGTGTTCCAAATTAAGATTTAACTTGAAATTAATGTAGATAATTACGGAGAGCATTAGATTTTGTAGAGTAGTTTACGTGAGAGGAGATCGCTTGGAGTCACGTGATATGAACCGGCGAATCGGGATGTTGAACCATGAAAGCATAGTAAATTCTTAAATTAATGTCTTTTTACAAATTTATTGTCTTTATTTATTGGCTTTTTATAAAGTTTTAAGCAATATTAAAATGTTTATGCCTTCAAAAAAAAAAAAAAAAAAAAGAATTCTTAGAACTAAAATTTTTTATGTGTATACTGTATGTTGTAGCCAATAAAGTCTGCTTGGCGAGATTTGCGCCGGCGAAACGGAAAAGTACCGAAATGTTTAATAAAGTAAACAAATAAATATTAAGCTTCTTTTTTTGTAAATTTTGATACCCTTTAGATCATAATTGCTCATTATTTTATAAATTACGGTTTCATATTTTTAATTTTATAATTTCTGCATGCCATCTTACCAGATTTAAACTGACGATCTATAATCCGGAAAAATCGATAATCCGGAATCGCCGAAGTCCTGACGAGTCCGGATTAAAGACTTCTGACTGTATAATACATATACTGCCATAAGCTGCTTTTCAGTTTTTTTTTTTTCAAAAAACTTTTCTATACGCAGTACTGATTTGAACTACCTAAAGTGAATCGAATTGAGCAAATACTTTACCAAGTACATGGTCCAAAGAGGCCTTTTTAGTGCATCATGCAAGAAGGATCATGATGGTCTCTCAATATGCCCCTATTGTTCGCGAGACATAATGGAAGATGAAAACATATCTCCCTCATAAAATTTTTAAAAAAATTACACTTATAATTAAAAAGTTCACAATTTTTTGAAAACTATAAAAGAATTTTAATTTTTTAAATAAATTCACTATTGAAATGTATGCTGCTTGATTTTCAAATAAAAATCCACAAGTTCTAAATTTCTTCTGATAGCTTTCTTATCTTAACAATATTCATATGTCACTGTTTAATTTATAAATAAAAGCTGCTAGAAATTATAACTGTATTCTTAGGCAGATGCATATGGTTTTTAAACATATTTAATTTCTCAACTTAGGTTGATCACTAATATAGCCATGATTATATGTATGCATATATACTTTAACAACAGATCTGCTCATTTTGATAGTTTACATATAAAATCGGGTAGGAAAGAGATGAAAATGCACAGGTTAAGAAATTAGAGCCGCATTTGGCCCACCAGCCATATTTTGTCCACTGCTGATCTAAGCTACATACTTGATTCTGTAAAGTTCCATCATGGTATAATAAAACAGCACAATCAAAATAGTATTTGTTTTTATGTTTGTGTTCACAGAGCTATCACCGATCTAATCAACAACTGAGGTTGAATTAACTATAGCAAAGGGTATACAGTAATAGAACACAGCCAACAGAAAGAGTAAATGCAAAATTCCTGTTCAGATGCATCAAAGTGGTTTAAGTGCAAATTAAAGGGAGTATCAGCTTCGACAATATTTACAACAGTTTGCTCACATTTGTGGAATGTTTCTTGGACTGTAATTTCAGGCTTTCAAAAAATTATACTAGATCACAGTAAATACATCTAATAACTTCTGAATAAATAATATGATGAATAATATCAATGACTAAATATTTACATATAATAAATTAATTAAATAATTGGGGAGAGTGCAGAATCACCCACTGCTTGGCGCGTTTTTAAGAATTGCACATACTCAATATCCATGTACACATCGAGCTATTTTCACTTAAAAAAACATCCCAGAATTGCACAAAGATGGCATTGCGCACTCCCTTGACTTTATCCATGTACACATCGAATTATTTTCACTTAAAAAGTCAAAGAAAGTTGACAGAAATCCAATTCTTCTTACTTTTGTAAAAAGCGCCAAACAAACGTCAAACAAAAAAGTGGGAGATTCTGTACTTTACCGAAATAATTATTTGCATAAAATGTACTTATTTGTAACTTACGACTAAATTTGCGGGAAGGAAGGATAAACAGGAACTTCGAGAACATACTTAGATTCCTACAGAAATCATAACACTAAATAAAAACCAAGATAAGGCTATTTAAATGTTACGCTTTTAAAAAATTAGAAATCGGCGTTTCATCTTAAAAGCTCATTTTTAATTCAAGTAATTATATTTCTTCCGATTGCATTAAATATGAACCTATGTCAGGGAACAGAATTCATCGGATTTTGTTATATACGATATAAAAAGAATAATATCATTTTCTTTTGCTAAAAAAAGGAAATTATCAGCTGAACAATTTTCTCCATCACTTCATGCATAAACAAAACTGAAAGTACACAAAGTAAAGCAGTTGCCAACTTTCTCCTGACAAACTAAAACAAACTTAATTCGAATCAGATAAAATCATATAATTTTAAAACATTTAATTGCATATAGATTTTTATTAATAATTCAGATAATTATAACTTTTATATATCCAAATATTAAAGCTATATTTTGCAGCTTCGTTTGTCGATATACTATTGATTAAGCCTCATGTGTTTCTCATGAAAATGTTTCCGTCAGGTTTCTGGCGGGAGGCCGGTGTAAAATGAATTGTGTTTCTTTTTTGTTTTGTAGTGTTTGTTTCGTCGTTAGAGTAAAAATTGCTCTTTAAAGCTAAAGAGCTCTGAATCCTTAATTCGATTACATGACGGGAATGTTAAACTATGAATATTTTGTGGAATATTATCATACAATTATATGTATTTTTGCTCTTTCTTTTTCCATATTAATATTTATATTGTATTATCATGGAGTCTTTTATAAAGTAGAGGTGAAAACAGCACGGCCACCTTTTACCAAAGACACTTTTGTAGTTTATAAATTCACACAAAATTACACTGAATCTAGAGATTTGCTAACTGAAGTACAAAATATAGCGCCGGATTTTGATTCCTTTTCAATTTATCATGAAAATTTTTATGTAAGAATTTGTCATATTTCTTTCAGTCGTAGATATTTTTGTATTGTGTTCGACCTTAACCTGTATTTAAATCTAGAACTAGAAATTTTTCATACACTTTTCCTGTTCACATTGCAAATTTAAAACTGAGGTGCTTGACTTCTTAGATAAAACATAAGTGTTTGAATTTATTATTTAAACCTGACATATTAAACATACTATCCGTGAAGTGCAGAATCGTTCACTATATAATTTGGTGCGTTTTGTTTGACGCTTTTTATAAGAGTAAGAAGAATTGAATTTTTGTCAATTTCCTTTAACTTTTTAAGTGAAAATAGATTGATGTGTACATGGAGAAAGGATAAAGTCAATTCAATTGCAATTCTCTGATGTTTTTTCAAGTGAAACTAGGTTGATGTGTACATGGATACCGAATTTGTGCAATTCCTAAAAATGTGCCAAGCAGTGGGGAATTCTGAATTTCCCCCTCTAGTATATTCATTAGTTCATTCAGTTTATATTTTAGGTATGATTTTAACATACTGCTTGAAATAAAAAATATGGTAAAATCCTAGTATACGGTGCAGCCTTGGCGCGATTTTGAAAATTATCGCCAACACCAAAAATGATCCAAAAGAACGTCGCGATTTTGAAAATTATCGCTCACACCAAAAATGATCCAAAGAACGTCTATATACTAGACACTAATATTATGTGTGTATATACTATATATAACTATATATATTCTTTGAATGACCCGTTTACTACTCATCGTACATGTCCCGTTTTTACTGATCATCATAAAGTCGCCAAAAGTAGCCAAATCCCGTGTGCACCGGATACTAGGATTAAACCAAAAATATTTTGTTCCCTTTTATCCATAAATGGTTTAATCCTAGTATCCGGTGCACACGGCATTTGGCGACTTTATGATGAGCAGTAAAAACGGGACATATACGATGAGTAGTAAACAGGTCATTCAAAGAATATATATAGTTATACATAGTATATACACACTATAGTGTATAGTATATACTATGTATATAGTGTATTACAATGTATATACACTATAGTATATAGTATATACTGTGTATATAGTGTATAGTACATATATAGACGTTCTTTTGATCATGTTTGGTGTTGCCGATAATTTTCAAAATCGCGCTAAGGCTGCATCGTATACTAGGATTTTACCTCTGTAAATATAATTACAAGATTTATTAATCTCTATTTTTATTCTTGTGACCCTTACATATGAAATTTTGACAAGCAGTGATTTTTCTACTACAGATAAAATTGGGATTTCAGTGTTTGAATGTTTAAAGACTTTATTCCAGATACGAAGTGATGAGATATCTAAAGTATCTCTTGCCAGTATAATTTAAGGTAAAATTGATGAAACAAGGAGAGTCCTTGAAATTTTTTACTTAAGACTGTCTTCAGAAAAAAATGAATCTTATATGACTTCTATTATATAGCATCTCATTAGACATCATTGTTAGACATAAAATTATATTATGTCTCATATGACAGGATTATTAGAAAAAAATTCATTTTAGGATTTCTCTGCAGCCAAAATTATCTAGAAAATGTCTTCACAAATTAGATTTCCTTAGGTATTCCATATTTCTAAAATTAGTTAGTTCTGGTTAATGATCCCAGTTCTAATGACTTTACTGTCAGTTCACTCTCATGGTTGAAAAGAAAGGGGTAAAAGTATATTTATGGGTACCTCTTGGCGATTTAGCGACGTATCCTAGGCATTGCACACTTCCTTTGATTTTATTCATGTACACATCAACCTAGTTTTGCTTCAAAAAACATCAGAGAATTGCATGAACTTGACATTGTGCACTCTCTTGACTTTGTCCATTTACACATTGAAATATATTCACTTAAAAAGTCAAAGGAGTACCCAATTCTAGGTAAAAGTATATTTATGGAACAACATTCAACTACTCAGGTTACCATAAATGAAACAACAACTCCGAAATAATACAAGGGGTACACCCCTCAGTCTAATCTAACCAAGAAGAGTTCTGGTTAACTTTTAAAACATAGATGTGCAAGTTTACCCATAGCCAGTTCTTGTCGTACATTATTAGTTTCTTTAATATTTTATCTTCAGTGTGTTCCTTTTGTTATATTTGATAATCATTTCTTTTGTACTTTTTCAGCAAACCAGAAGTCAAGTAGGATCTTCTGTTGGGGTGGTTTTGCCAGAAAATATTGAAGAAAATTTATATCGCAAGCTAATTCAAGCAGGTTATAAAGTTGCTATATTCCCAGCCATAGATTTTGCTGTCGTTGCATCATTTCCATACAAAAATCAATATTCCTTGGTCATTGCAGTTTACAGAACTTATCCTAGACTAAAGCAATATATAAAGGTAGGAAAATAAATGTTTTATGTTTATTTATAAAAGTCAAAATATATCTGAATATTAAGGCTTGCTTAAAAACACAATAACATAAAATAATTGATAAAAATTTTAACTTTCTTATTTAGGTTAAAAGAAAATAATTATTAAAGGAACTATCTAATCATGGTGAGCTTCCCTCATCCGTAGCACTATTTGACAGTTATAAAAATATATAAATACAGATATAAAGACAGTAAAAATGTACAAACATGTGAATAAAAAGTAAAATATGTAACAAAATTAAAAAATATGTATAATACGAAATTTTGTCTTGTATTTTACATTAAATTTTTTCTGTTTTGTCACATAAAGTTAATTTTTTTAATTGTGTAGAAATAATTATGCCATAAAATGCACACTATCACTAGCATATTTTACATTAGATTAGTTTGTAGTAGATGTGCTTCAACTTTTCATAAAAAATTAATAAAATTTTGTAATTTATATAAATTTTATCTGCTTCTACAGGAAAACATTTATTATATGGGAGAGCATAAATATATCTTATATAGAAGAAGATTTTATTTCCTTAAGGTTCCATTCAAACGGTGGTATAAATGTCATAGAGGTATAATTTACGGCTATAGTATCTACAGCTTTTCCACTCAATAGGTTTCTCGCGTCATGCTAAATTACGCTATTATACTAAATTGGCATAAAGTTGAAAACTTTGAACTTTATGCCAAAACCCCTAAACCAGTTTTTGTGACCTAGCAAAGTCTGATTACGTAGCAACAAAGTTCAGCTTAAGCCAGTTACGACATTTATACCACCATCTGTGAAAGGAGCCTAACCCTCCACGTAAGGCTTCTGCAATTTGAGAAGGCTTATCAAGTTGGTTTGCTACTACAATTCTTGTGAAAATCATGTGTTTTACCTTGATTTCAATGTGAATCCCGCTCTTTCTTCATGCAGGGTAAAATTGTCTTAGGTTTCATTATTTGAATGATAGATGGCTCTTCTGGATTCATTTCATTGTAAAAATTGTTGGTTGATCTTTGGATTATGGTAACTTGGCGAAAATTTGGCGACCAACTCTGCTACAGCAACCCTCTATTTTTTTTTCGCCGCCATTTTGTCTTCACGAAGTAAAGACATGTTTCTTTTCTTTTTATTTACTGAACACTTTTTCCAACAATCTACTAGCCGAATTACACTTATGCTAGAAATTTTATGTAACAAAACTGCTTAATCATGACAAATATTAACTGCAAAATTGGGAAAAAGTGCACAATCGCAAACTCCTTGCGCATTTTTCAGAATAGCACATACACATAAACCATTTACACGTCGACTTATTTTTACTTAAAAAAACATCCCAGAATTGCACAAAAATGGCATTGCACACACTCTTAACTTTATCCATCTACACTGCTATTTTCTCATAAATTACAAAAATTTGCACGAAAATGCAAAAAAATTCTGTGAATCTTTAAACTCGGTAAAAAGCTGTACAACTCTAATATACGCCCTAATTTCACCAAATGTGGCGATATGTGTTCTGCGCTGGTTTTTGGCACGATTGCGTGTTCTATGGCAACCCTGTTGACGTTGAAAAATCTTTCGCTGGAGCTCGTTGATTCGCCTCTGTGTCTGAGAATCCCCGGAGGGAAAGATAAAATGGTAGTTGTTGAATTGAAGTTCGGCAAAAGGAAATATGATTGTGGCTATCCTGTTGAGGGGTAGTGGGTATTTGGAAGTGTGGAAAGAGGGTCTGGGAGATTATTTTTAATGGCAGTGCATGATAGAAGTAGGGATTTGTGATTTTATTTATTTGTGAACCATAGTATAAATTTTCTGGATAGTGTGTCTGGCTGTCATGTAAATACGATAGTGATTACGTGGCGGTATGAAATTTATATTTCTGCTATTCGAAAACGCATTAATTCATGGTAAGTGCATTTTATTTTATCCTTGTTCTTATTTTGTGGAATGCTATGTTCATTGGTTCTTTAGTATGAATTTCTGTCGTTATTGTTGTTTTTTTAAATTGTTTGAAATTTATTTTAGTTTATTTTGTTGTTTAGTGTCTAGACTGTACAATTCATAGATGTTTTTTTAAGTTGAAACAGAACGCTGTGTACATGGTATTATTTGAAATTTATTGTTGTTATGTTATTTTATTAAAGCGAGGAGTGCGTAGATTGTAGATTCCTTCCTTGCCTAAATTGTGCAATTCGTAGAATTTTTTTTTTAAGTTTAAACAGGATGCTGTGTACATGGTATTCTTTGAAATTTGTTGTTATGTTAATTTATTAAAGCGAGGTGTACGTAGTTTGTAGATTTGTTCGTTGCCTACATTGTGCAATTCGTAGATGTTTTTTTAAGTTAAAACATGTCGCTGTGTACATGGATTCTTGTCAAATATTTTTGGTTAGAAACTTTACGATTTTGCTATCTAAATTTTTTGTTTTTGTTTCGGATTTTTAGCTAAATTTGTGTGTTCAAAACGAGTTTTTGCATGTGCGAAAACCGCGTTTTTGGAGACATTTTAGGCTAAAGTTCAAAATGTAGACAAAAATTTAGATAGTAATATGGCAGCATGAAGTTTCTCGCCAAAAATATTTGGCGAGAAATTTGGCAACTTGAGGGCGCATATCAGAGTAGTTCCAAAAGCACATATATGAAATTACCTGATCACGAAAAATATATACCCTTTCCAAGGATGAACATTTCCATGTATAAAATAAATAAAATATCCAAAAACTTTTACCTCTAAATTATCTATTATATTATAAACGTCACCAACGAATTCATACCGCAAACATTAAAAATAATTACAAATACTTAGTGTCGAATATTTAAATTATTTCCATACACGTTTACTTCAACTGAAACGTATACCAAATTCCTACAAACATAAAATTCACAAAATAACTATCATTTAATTAAAATATCACTAAACCATGTACACGTCGACTTATTTTTACTTAAAAAAACATCCCAGAATTGCACAAAAATGGCATTGCGCACACTCTTCACTATATCCATGTACACTGCTTTTTTCTCATAAATTAGAAAAATTTCACGAAAATGCATGAAAATTTTCTGAATCTTTAAACCCGGTAAAAAGAACATATATGAAATTACCTGATCGCGAAAAAGTATATACCCTTTCCAAATATGAACATTTCCACGTATAAAATAAATAAAATATCCAAAAACTTTTACCTCTAAATTATCTATTATATTATAAACGTCACCAACGAATTCATACCGCAAACATTACAAATGGTTACAAATACTTAGTGTCAAATATTTAAATTATTTCCATGCACGTTTACTTCAACTAAAACGTATACCAAATTCCTACAAACATAAAATTCACAAAATAACTATCATTTAATTAAAATATAATTAAATTCAAAAACACTACTTAAAATATAAATAAGCACATACATTAAATAATAAATACCAACCAATTCTTTTGAATTATCAATTAAATTCACTTTAGATAGCGCCATGCAATCCAAAAATTAATCAACAACTACTCACACAACACACAATGAAGCTTAATACAAAATAATACTGCTACAGATATTTTTCCAAATCCCCCCTTTTCCGATTAAAGAACTGTAATTCCATTTGTCCATTAATATCGCATGACATATCTCATGATCTCTCATTTCCCTCACACAACATAATAATGCTTAATCGGAACTGAGTACTTCTCACATTATTACCAAAGTCCTAGGTAAGTAACCTTTATCGCCTCCAAAATGTCACCAAACTACCAGTTACCATATTCCAAAGATCAGCCAAATTGTTTAATTTAATAGTAAAGATTTCATTGTTTATGTAAAAGCTTTGAATTTGTTACCAGAACATCCCAGTGATGTTCTGGTAACAAATGGCTAGCATGGGCTGTATATTTCAGAAACGGAAAGTATGAAAAATCGAGCCATACGAGGAGGGTTAATTATGCACAAAATAACATTTTAATGAAATGAATGAATATTGCAGGCCTACAGACTTTGTGCACACCCTATCATGGAACTTTATACCAAAGATACAGTCTTCTTTATTGCTCCACTGTCAAAGCAGTTTGACTTTTATGCAGAAGAAGCCATTCCAGAGTATGAAGAGAGTACCTCTGAAGAAGAAAATGAATTTTCTGATGACTTAGAATATTCCAAAAGTCGTTATCATCACAGTTCATTGAAAAGTCAATGCTACTGTGATCCATTTTTACATTCTTCATCTTGCGATAGGCGCAAGCGAGCCTTGTAAGTCTCAATTTATGATTTTTTGACTGGAATGGGAAACATTATACTTCAGGATTCTCATCCACATTTGTATGATAAAAAATACAGTTATTAATGTTGACAAACAGTGTTGTAACAATTTTTAATTTAGAATTTTGATACTGGCAAGTTTAGCCCGTTCATACACTTAATCGTGTCAGTATACCTATTTAAAGTCTGAGATAGATACGGAAGTTAATTTGCTTTAGAAAATGTTTTTTTTTTTTTTTTTTTTTTAAATTTTGAAGCATAAAATGCATAGGTGGATTGTTTTAAATTTGTTCTAGTTTCTAAAAAATTAAAATCAAGTCATTTTTTGCTTTTAAAATGCTATGTAACGTTCTTTTCGAAGTGTGACTCTCAGTATTTTTATCTATTTGTTTTAATTCATGTAATATGTGAATATGTAATACAATTTTGGAAATGAATGATTTGTGGGGTTATGTGAATTGCTTTACTAACATTCCATTAAACTAGAATTTTATCATTTCATAAGCTGATTCATCTGTTTATATCTTAACAAATTCCAGCTACAAATGAAACACACACATCCCCAGCCAAAAAACAAAACAAAAAAAAAAAAAAAAATTGCATGATGTTTTTGTCAATGACCGAAAACGTCTAATCAGAAGAAAAGGAAACTAATATAAAATTTTAAAAGCAGACCCCCAAAAAATCATTTTTTCCGCTCTTGAAAAAGAGAGATGTGTTAGATACTCCTCAATATTAGTAGATTTTTATTTAAAATCTGCATCAATCTAATATTACTTTCGTATCTAATTTTAAATAGAAATTTCTTTTACCTCAATGAAATATTTCTTGGAGCAATTCCATGTGCCTGATTTATTTTAAGTATAGTTAAGAAAAGACATACTACAAAATAATGAATATGAATTGTATACAGAAGTCATAAAAAAAAAGGTATATTTTCATTGTATCCTGAAATTATCTGTAAACAATAAAAGGATTATTAGGTAAATCCAGAATATTGTTATAGAACATTTCATGTTTTTATCTATTAAATTATTTTATTTATTATTTCTGAATTGTTAATAAAGATTATTTCTTAATAAGCATGTACGATGTCCTATTCAAAAATATTGCATTTTAATGTATTAATGCATGAAAATAAATGTGTCTGATTTAAGAAACTATTGTTAAAAAAAAAAAAAAAAAAAAAAAAAAAAAACCTTTCTTAATAGCAGTTGGTACATTTCCACTAGTGATTATTTTATGATACAATTTCTAGTCAGTAGTCAATATTAGGAGAAGTTGCGTAGTATCAAAAATAAAATTGTTCGTAAATGGCAGTTAGGCTGTTATATCCTAGACGTCTTTAAAGACCTTGTCTTTTCAAAATCTCCAGTAAAAAAAGGTGACTGAAGTGCTATTCGATGACTGAAATTAGAAAATTGTTTCCATACTTTGTTTATATTTAATTGCATATACTTTTTTTTAGTAATGTGTGACCTATTATTAAGTTAAAATAGAAGACTGACTCTCAGCAAATCAAACAATACTATGTACTTTTTTTTTAAATGATGCCATTTTATGTATTTTTAGTGTAGCGAGTGTGAGAGGATTGTGTGGTCATGCCTAAAAATAACAGATCTTAGGTCCTCATCACACATACTTGAAAGAAGTACAATGTCAAGCAGCATTTCTGGCAGTGGTTAATCTTTGGATAATGGTAACTTGGCGATTTTTTGGCGAAAATCTGACGACTAGCCCTGCTAGTTTTTGTTTGGACGCCATTTTGTTTTCACGAAGTAAAGGCATTTCCCCCCCCCTCAACATTTTTTTCCCAACAATCTGCTAGCCGAATTACGTGTATGCTAGAACTTTTATGGAACAAAAGTGCTTAATCATGACGAAGATTAGGTGTGAAATTGGATTTAGTGACGAAGATTAGGTGCAGAATCGCAAACTGCTTGCGACGTTTTTAAGAATTGCACATACACGGTATCCATGTACACATCGACCTATTTTCACTTAAAAAACATCCCGGAATTGCACAAAAATGGCATTGCGCACACTCTTGACTTATCCATGTCCTAGCTAGTAACCTTTATCGCCTTACCAATATGTCGACAAACTACCTGGTACCATATTCCAAAAATTAGCCCTGGCAGTTTTTTTTTAACACTTTGACTGCCAGGGGGGGGCTCACCGTGACCAGCACTCGACTTGGCTACAGCGCCTTGGGTGCCACCGGCGACGCGACCAATAGTGAAATACATTATTAGAGTAAATATTGATACTGATAAATTTTTAAATGGTACCATTGTTACTATAATGGGGTGAAGAATGATAAATGGTAAAAATTTTAATTATAAATCGCAATAATGGTCTACAGCATCTTGGGGGTCACTGGTAACCCCCACCACGAAAAATGCATTAAGCACAATTATATAACTCGTATTACCTTCTGTAGATAATATTTCAACATAATAAACATTGCGTAATAAAAATTTCTAGTTGCGGTCATGGGCAAACCACGTCAAATGCATGCGGCAGTCAACGTGTTTATGAACTGATTCATTCGTAAACTTTTTTAATGTTAAAAATGTAAATTTGTTACCATAGTAAGTAAAAATAGTCTTTCATTTATTGCCATAAGTGTATAAGGAAATTCAGTATAGTAAATCTAGGATATGAAAAGACATCTTGAAATTTAAAAATGATTATTATTGTATTTTATACATTTGCATATTTCTATGTGAAAACTGCTATCAATTATTGATGTCATATAAGTTTTCAGATCCTGAATGAATTGCATAATAGATACGTGGGTAACTCAGAAATTTTTTAGTCAGGGGCAGACAGAAAAAAATATATATATATATTAAATGTGTAAATATAAACTCTTTTATGTCCACAAAAAGTTACTTTCAATGAGGTTGTATTATTTATAGATAATTTATGGCAATGACTTCAGTTTATCTATTGCGGAATAAATTTTTGAAGAAAGGAAAGCGGAAGTCGAGCGAGATCACTATTACTTTATGACTTTCTGTACTTTTAGTGTTTTCTGTGGTTTAAGTGGGACTAAATCAAGAGGAATGCCTTTAATGTCTAAGTTAGCATATGGAAATGAAATTTCATCTCATGCCACTGTATTCAGATGGCTTACAGAATTCCAGAGGTCAAAATTCTCCCTTAGATGAAGAATACAAAGGAAGACTTTTTGTCAGCTGTAATATCATGCAAAAAGTGATAATTGTTATATCTACCAAATGATACGAAAGAAACTTAAAATTTAATCCATGGTTATACATAAAATTTTTCATATAGCTCTGCATGTGTTAAAATTAATTTGCTGTTGAATACCCCTTAAATTAATAGAACACCAAAATGCACAGAAGTCAGAATCGATAAAGAAATCCTAAAATTACTTAATGATGAGCCCTGCATTATTTCTAAAATCATAACTGGTGATGAAATGTTCATCTGTTTTTTGACATTCTAACAAGCTAAAAAAGTAAAGTGTGGGTGTTTGAACATGGCCCCCAAATTAATAATAGTAAAAAGATAAGGAGCAATGAAAAAAATTAATCTATATCAAAATTTTCTTCAGAAGTACGTGGTTGGTTAAAGCCATAAAGTTAGAAGGACAGGAAACAGTTGCAGCTAACTGTCACCAAGTATCTTCCGAAATTCAGTAAGCGAAAATTAAGGGACTTCCACGATCTTCTCATTCAACAAGATTGACAACTGAATTTCCTGAGCAAAGTAATATAATATACACTTTATTCACCTTGTAGAGTCATTAGGATTTTTTTAGAGACAGAAAAGATGAAAAATTAGCAACTGCCTTCGCTGGGAATCGAACCACGGACCTCTGAAATACCAGCTCAGTGTGCAGAACCACTACACCACGAAGGCTCGCTAGGAAAGTGGGAGAAATACCTTATATACTCCCCTTTTTAAAGGGCGACTAGGGTTTTAGGAGACCTAGTCACCAAATCCTGGGTGCGGAGAATCATCATCCACAAACCCTTTTAGTTCGAGCATCACTTGTAGAGACATTAGGTTAATTGGAAGCGGAAAGGAGGAAAAATATGCAACCGCCTTCACCGAGAATCGAACCACGGACCTCTAAAATACCGGCTCAGTGTGCAGAACCACTACACTACAAAGGCTCACTAGGGAAGTGGGAGAAATACCTTATAACCTGATCTTGCTATGTATGACTTTTGGCTATTTTTAATTTAAAATAAAATTTGCATAGCCATAGTTTTCATTTTGAAGATGAGATTGATGAGGCTATAAAAGCATATTTTTCATAGCTTCCAAGAAATAGATATCTTGAAACATTTATTGAGAGAATTTATCCTGGAAAGTGCATTTATAATGGAGGGAACTATTTTGAACTCTCCTACAGTTTATTAAGTTTAACTTGTACCAATTGGCTGTACCTAAAAAATTTCAGAGTGACCCTCGTATAATTGTTTAGGTGAACGTGCCACATTTTTTTACTAGTTAATTCCCAATAATCTAGTCTTCAAAAGTACTTTTAAGCCTTAAATAATTGTTAATGTTAATTTGTAATATTAAAAATTATTTTATTAAAATGTCCTTTTAAATGCATTTAACCGCTTCCTTTACAAAATTTTTTGAAAAAAATTGCAAAAAATCATCACATTTTTTTATTTTATTATTAAATACAACAAAACAAAACAAATCAAAATATGTAGGTTTTAATTTTTTGAAGGTGTAAAAGTATTATTATTTTGAAGGTGTAAAGTTGAATTTTTAATTTTTTGAAGGTGTAAAGTATTTATTTTTAATATTAGTTTACTATCCCGAGTTATCTCGGGCAAACAAAAAAATAGTTAAATATTAATCTTTGTATGATTGTTTTTGAAACAAGGGACAGCACAGAGTGATACCTGACATTCTACACTGGTATCTGGTCTCTTTTCTTACTGGCTTACCGCTGGAATCTCTTTCACAGGAGCACAGAGTGTGCACTGTCTCGTTGGATTTGATTTTTTCCTCCCCCCCCCCACCTCTTCATAATCGCTATCTGAAAAATCATCGCTTTTGCTATCTTGCATCATCGACATTATTTTATTTTTTTCCCCCAACGCATGCATCCTTCTTTATATATTACTAATCCACAAGCCAACGTATACTATACAATAGGGAAACACGCGACCAGTCCCTCCAAAAGAATCGCGCAACCAGGAAGATTTGGCAAACTGCCAATCAAAGCTGAATATTTCCTCCAGACCGAGTAAAATCATGATAAAAGAAATCGTACTAACAAATTCTGCTTTGCCCGAGTTTTCTCGGGATAATAATTAACTGCAATATATACGAACCCGAGATAACTCGGGATAATCAGGCAAGCGGTTAAAAAATAATCTGGGCTATTATATTGTACTCAGCATGTACAAGATGTGTCTTGTATGCTGTGTATTCAACAGGAAGTACAAAACTAGAAACAGATGTTTTGATGCAAATATATTGATTATTTTTGTCAATAACCACTGAATATAAGCTTTGCAAAAATTATCATTCATATAAATAAGATCCATATTTATTCAATGAATTGCTTTTTCAGTGTGTTCAGCTTTATGATGTTTCAATTTTGTGTTTGATGCAATTTCATACAGTACAGAGTCTGCAATATGAAATAATCTAGTATCTAGACCTCTAGATCACATGTTTTTTTCCTTCTTCTTCTTTCAGGATTTAGAAACCGTAAAAGCAGGTGTGGTGTAAAAAACTTTTTTTGTTTTGCATGTAACTAACTAAACCTTCTGTATTTCATTTCAAACACCTACTAGCTGGGAATCACACAGTGGGCAATAATTATATGTTGATTCATATTGGCATCAATCATGTCTTTGAACAGGGGGGGGGGGGAGTTAGTATTTTTCTATCTGACTTGTGACAATAAGTGAAGGCCTATGTATTTTTAGTGGGATGTTGCTGATAGTTGTTTTCTTTTATTGACATGGTAGTGGAAAAAAAAAAGGAATTCTATTGTGAGGAACTTAAATTTGGTAAACATATTAAACTCTGTTGTTTCTTAACTTATTTGAATAATTTTGATTCTACTTATTATTTTTTGCAGGCTATTAATACACTCATGTCCAAAATTATCTTTACTTGCATAACATCATGGATTTCTCAGAAACTGTGAACTGTATAAATTTGTGTGGAATGCTACATAACATCATAGTGCATAAATACAAAGGAAAAAATTTTAAAACTTTGCATTTGATATAAAACTGTAGCATCAAACTATAAAAATGGTGATAATGTGTTATAAGGAGAGTTGAGAAGCAAAAAGAAGAAAGCATAAGTCGGAAAAAATTAGGGCTAATAAATTTAATGTTTAATGTGATCACCTCTGACTTCTACTCACATATCACAGCATGTTTTCAGGCTGAGGACCATCACACCTTCATTACCAAAATGGTCACTTCCCATAACATTCAAAGGAAAATTTCACGTTCCTAATTTCTTCTAGATGTAAACATATGTAAAATCAGATATTCTAAACTTTGGCTCATCAGTAATGTGGACATGGGACTATTTGTGTGCACTCCAGTTTTGATGTTCTCTGCACCAATTAAAGTGATCTCTCTTTTGTTGTAAAAACAGCAAAATGTATACTCTAAGCTATAATATACATAAATTATGAATGTCTTGACTTATGTTTTTTTCCTAAAGTGCGGAAATTTCTAGAGTTTTGTTAATTTAAGTCTAATGGGGCAGCCAGACATATATTCTAAAGTTTTAGATAAGTTACTTTCAAATAGATTGTATCTTCTAGATGTAAACACATGTAAAATCAGATATTCTAAACTTTGGCTCATCAGTAAAGTGGACATGGGACTATTTGTGTGCACTCCAGTTTTGATGTTCTCTGCACCAATTAAAGTGATCTCTCTTTTGTTGTAAAAACAATGTATACTCTAAGCAAAATGTATACTCTAAGCTATAATATACATATATTATGAATGTCTTGACTTATGTTTTTTTCCTAAAGTGCGGAAATTTCTAGAGTTTTGTTAATTTAAGTCTAATGGGGCAGCCAGACATATATTCTAAAGTTTTAGATAAGTTACTTTCAAATAGATTGTATTATTTTTTTTAGAATAGTTTTGCATCATCAAAACAGTATGAGTTTACACTAGGCCGCTCTGTGGAAAAGGCTGCTTATGATCTAGTTATTATTATTAGCTCGCAGAAGTTCCATGTAGCTCCTTCAATGTCTCAGGAGCCTTTGATACCTAATAGATGAGAGTCTTTGTTCTCCATCTGATGAAATTCTGATATCCCCAAAAATATCTGCAGAATCTTTCTTAGTTATTTTAATAAAAGGTTATTAAATTTGCAAGTTAGGATATTTGTATTGAAAGAATGGTTTGCAAAGAATACCCACAGATTTCTGCTCTGCTACTTTGGAACTCCATAATGTATGGACTGTTAAAGAAAGTGTCCAGATGGTATAAGAATGCTTTATTATGCAGATGACATTTCCATCTTATTCTTTGCTTCAAATTGTACAGCTATCGAAGTGCTATATGTGCTGCAGAGCAGATATAGAATAACCTTTTTGAAATATGTGCTAAATTTTCTGAACAGCAGTCAGATATTCAAGAATTGTTTTAATATTTTAACATAAATTCTGCTATGTGTGAAAGATTATGGGAGAGCATATCTGTAGATATTTTACAAAATCTTGGCATAATTTATGGCCAATTACTATATTTCATGATAGTATGGTGATGATAGCTGTGAATATGAAAGTTTTTAGATATCATAAGTAAAAGGTGAAGTAATAAATAGTGAAATCAGTTGTAGGATTTTTGATCCAAAAAATATTGCAACAGATAGGGGAAAAGTGATGGAGAAGTTTTTGAGAATGAAAAGATTTCAACTGACAGTTTATTGAGAATTCACAACATTGCAATTATAGCATTTGAACAGTAGAACTTTGTAACTGAACAAGAAATTTATGTCTGTCTATAAAATTAAAGTATTAGCACAACAATCAAAACGGTTTAAAGAACTTGTTGATTATTATAGACACATGTTACAAAAATTTCAGTGGACTGTATTTTAAAATCACTTTATTTACTTTCATTTTGAAAACACTCACTACACTTTTCAACTCTATTCTTTCAAATTGTTAGAATCCAAAATTTAAAATTAAAATCGCTTATGATTTCGATGACAACTTAAATCGTTTTCTTCTTGATCACGCTGCCACAATAGCGCTTATAATTAGGTACGGAATGGAACTTGTATTGAAAGAAATGTATAATGAAAGAAATAAATATTGAGCTTTTTTTCTAAATTATGATTTCTTTAAGTTTACAAATGCTTCATTATTTCATATTTTTAATATTATACTTGCTGCATGTCTTCTTACTAGATTTAAGCTGGTGACCTAAAATCCAGAAATTTCCAGACTCACTAATGTTCCAATTATTCCAGATCTCAGACTTTGTATTGTATCTCTTCCCTGCAAGTAAGGAGAAATTTACTACTTTAAATGTATATTTGAATAAAATTTTATAAAACTAATACTTAGATAAGTTCAAAAAATATTTTTATTGGATCATTCCAAAAGTTCCGCAGTTTTTCGAAACACAAAGCATATTTTCTTGTAATTATTTTGTTTATTATTCATATGGAGTGATCTCAGATGTTTAAATACTGTCTTTTCTACTAGCACACTGCATGATTCTAACGTGTGGTAGTATAATCAGTTTCAGTGTAGTACTAAGAATGGAGATCCCAAAAGTTCATTTTTATCATTTTACACTCTTTTATTTTGAAAAAGGAAATGTGATAGTCAGGTTTCTCATGAAATTTGTGCTGTATAAGAAAAAATATATTTGTGCTTTAACCTCAGCCTCGAAGATGATTCCCACTCTGGACAACCATTCTGTGTAAACAAGGGCCTATAAAAATAAGCTATTACTGGAAATACAAGTTGTCCAATTCATAAACTATCAAACAGAATTAATTTTCCAAAAAAATGCAGTATTTGATCATTTGGAAATGATCGGATATGCAGTCAGTTGCATATATCGGTACCCCATTAACTTTTAATAGAGCAAAATATGAGCTCTGTTAAAACAATAAAACAAACAGAGCTTGCTCAAATTCGGTATGTGATTCTGTGCTGAAAAAGTAAAGAAACTCCTCTTTTGAAACAGCTCGTTACTGAAAATGAGAAATGGATATCATAAAGTAGTGTTACAAGAAAAATATTGTGGGGTAAGCCAAAAGAACCTCTTTTAGTAATACCGAAAGAGAAACTTAAAAAGTAATGCTTTGTGGCATGGGATTACAAAAGAACTATTACCACTAAATCAGATTATAAATTTGGAAAAATACTGTTCTTAAATGGCAGTTTTGAAAGCAGAAATGGAAGCAAAGTAGTACCCAAGAACTGACCTGTGAGGTGTTATCTTCCATTATGACAATGCTTAACCTCACATTTCAATGAATGTCAGACTAAAACCTTTTGAATATGGTTACGGTGTTTAGTATCCCTTCGCACATCATTAGACCAGTGGTCTTGGACTCAGTCTGCTTGCCAAATTCACAATTTAATTTTTTTTAACAAAAATGATAAGTTTTTGGTAGACAAAAAAGTTTTTAACATAATTAAATTAAAAATTTTACTAGCTGAATACCGTATTTATGCAAATCTAATGCGCATCCCCATTTTAAAACTTTAAATAATAAAAAAAAATTTTGTCGGCGAATGTAATGCGCATCAATGGTATGAGGAATTTATTGAATCTTATTTTATACAACAGTGGATTTGTATATAAACTATCAATCAATGGTATGATAATTTATTTAATTTAGATACCATATTTATACAACAATGGATTTATGCATAATAGCAGAACATAGAATTAACCTATTAGTGGGCTATTGTTACGTGAAACAATCATTGTTAATTACCACTACGTATATGCGGTACATATCGTAAAGTATGAACATGAAATAAATCGTAACATTTCTATCTAGCTAACATTTTCTACAATCGTGATTATAGTAAACGTCTTTATTCACTATTTTGATAACGTTTTTAGTCCCCTTCTCCGTATGGTGTATTACGAGGCCATATCAAACAAATTGGCGTCTCGTCAGCGTTGCCATTTGTCCCATTGAAAATTCTTTTTCCTCCGAAGTGTGATGACATACCGCTAAAATGTTAGTCGTTTTCCCTCAAAATTGCAGGAAGCTTTTTGGCATATTGTTGTCCGGCGTCTTAGAGATAAGCCCATCCGCTTCATAAACCGATCCACCCATCCACGGCTAGCTTTAACTCTGGTTCGGTATATTCCAAGAACTTCAGCCTCCTCTTTTGCTTTATTTCTTATATGTCATAGTCACAGGTTGTCCATTCTTCTCCTTTCACGTACGAATCCAAAACATTTCTTCAATTTTAGGTGTCTTCCTTAGCGAGGGCCAGTGAATTTCTCTACTAGTTTTAGTTGCAAACAGTGCAATTTCTGTTGCCTGTCAAAGCGAATATTGCTCTCAGCTACGTTTACCTCTCCCAGCCTTTCTATTGCCATTTCTTTCAGGATAAAGAATTACTTTACGTTTGAAAGTAGCGTCATATGACATTCTTCTCTGCTTGCCCTCCATTTCGTGACTACGTACTCTGCAGTTTGTATCCTCTATGCAATAACGATAAGCAACGGAGATGGGCACGTCCCTTACCAAAAGGTTATCGTAGCACACGTCCACCTATTATAGAGCCTAAAGCGGATCATAAGACGCCACGCACCGGGCGTCCAAACCCAGAGCCAATTTAACCTGGGCAGTCCAACAGACAAATGCCCACGAAAGACAGTCCCAACAACCACCCAGCCCCACATTATTAAATAAAATAACAAAAGATACAGGGCCAAACAGGGCGATTTTGACAATAAGCAAAAATTTTACAAAGGTGTAATACACCCAAATAGAATACATAGGCTAAAGTACAGTCTGATTATTGGGCAGCCCAATAATATACAAGAGTAAAAATAGACAGTAGAATTAGACTTAATGACAATATAACATAAAAACAGAGAACATAGTGACAATGAATGTAAATGATTACAGCAATACACAGAGGATATACCAAAAGAAATAAAAATAAAAGAATACAATAGCCATCAGTGTGTGACTGGAAGTGACATCAGTGTGTGACTGATACATGGGAAATGCGTAAAGCATTCAGAATTCGACTTAATTCAGAAGACTAACAACTGGATCGGGATACATTGCATAGCCAAGTACAATATATTTGGCACGATAAATGTAACAGTAAATGTAATCGAGAAATACAGTAATCCATTGTTACGATTTAAATTTGGTTGACGTCATCGGCGAACTTTGCACTCGAATCTAATACGCACCCCAATTTTGAGTACTACATTTGGCCAAAAACGATGCGCATTAGATTCGCATAAATACGGTATTTATCAAACAGTAATAATAATGACTCAAAAGATTGTAATCTTATTGTAAATCACACTTTGTAATTCAAATGTATTGACAGCTAAATATTAAATTTTCAGTTTGACGTTTATTTTAAGCAATTATAATGTGTTGAATAAACCATCCAAATAATTTACTTAACCTAAAAATAAACAAATTGTGAAAACTTTTCAAGTGTGACAAAATTCTAGAATAATGATAACGTATTTTGCTTCTTTTATTTATTAAATTTTTCTTTGATACATACAAAAGAAATGCACATATTTGTTTGTAAATACTTGTAAATTTTAATTCTTACTAACAGCACATGGCATTTCAATTTTTATAAAGTTCCTTGATTCCCATGATAGCGTTTGATAAAACCTTGGAGAAAAATTACCAGAAACTATTTTATTGTATGCTTGTTGGTCAATATTGTTCTTATTTTAGACTTACAATTTTTAACTGCAGGAAAAACTGTTCACATATATACAGATTACAAAATGCATTAAAATTTCATAACTAATGGTGTTTATCTTTTTATGAGTATACAAAAAGTCAATCAAATATGTATCTTCAGATCTTTGAATAACAGTTATGTAATATTGTAAATTAATTAACTATATTTGAAGATTTCCTGGAACATTAATAACTTTTATTTTCAAGGTTAATGAAAAAAATGTCAAATTGAACAGCAAATCATTCAAATCATAAACCTTTCTTCAAGTGCATGTTATAATAATGCTAATTAATTAACAGTAAATATATCTGCTTACTGCATAAAATTGCTTTGCGGGGTGTATTTGGTGCATGAACTGCTAGTTTGAGACCACTACACTAGGCCTCGCCCTTGTAGATTTTCTTCCCTTCGGGTGGGTCACTTTAAAATTTTCTGAATGACCTGGTGTTCACTTTGGAGACTATCAAACAATATGTGAATAATTTCTTTTAATATAAACTGAATGACTTTTTTGAAAACGAATTTTCTAACTGCCTGAGAGATGGCAAAAAGTCATTAAATAAAATGCTGCTTACGTGATTCATTGAAAGTTTCTTATGTTTTTGTGCTGTTTCATTCATAAAAAATCGCAAACTATTTTGGATGATCCAGTACAAACATTCTCTCAGTTTAATAAGCATTAAGCAAAAATATATAGAGAGATTTGGATAAAATTAAATTTTGTGGTCATTAAATGTCAAAAAATTTTTACTAATTAAGTAAATGTGTGCTAATTTGGGAAGATGATTTACATCACTAATCTGTGAGTACTTATTTATTACTGTTATCATTGTTGTTATTATTGCAGTACAGTTGTAGGGTGCAGAACTTATAATGTAGAACTCAGTATTTCTTGATTCAACCTTAGATGACATATACTAGTAGTTTTTTAAAAAATACTATTTTTCAGTTATTAAATTGTAGCTAATGTGTTGATAAATTAGTTGTTTCATGTGTAACATATTCTTTAATTATTAATTAAGAAAGTAGAGCTCTACAAAGTGTTAATGTTACTATGTTCAGTTTTTTTATTCCAAGTATTTCTTGGAACTTATTACTTGGCATTGTGATTTATATTAGAAAAGATTTGTATCGCAAATGCTAAACTTGAATATTCCTACTGTCTGAATGTTTGTATTAATGAAAATTAAAATACAACATTGGAATATTTTAATCATGGGATTCAATATGTGAAAGTGCAGAGCTATATTATTAAAAACAGTTATTTTCTTTGAAATTAATAAAATAGTAATTGTGTGCATTTAGTTCCTGTAAGTTTTAATGCAATAGGTTAAAATGTTTGTAATGCCTATTTAAAATTCTACAGTTCATAGTCTTCCTTTCTAGTCTTCCTTAAGAACGGTTGTGTGTTTTAATGTTTGGTTGTAAAATGGAACTGTGTACACATTGCAGCATAAAATAT